TTTCGTGTATCTATAACAATAAACAAAAACTTGATTCAACATCAAATACAAGTTCATATATGAACAATGTGACAGTGAGCATTGTGAGTAATGAATTGTGCTAAACAAATTTGATTTAAAATTGTCATTAAAATATTATATTTTATATCATTAAAAATTCTCAGAATTAAACTTTTTATAATAATTAAATTTTTATAATTACGTTGATACCTTGAATACTTTTGATAACCAAGAACTTCTTGCAGTACTATTTTCTGCGTCAAGTAGATAAAGGTTTCTATGACAACTAGTGCACATCATAGTAGAATATGCTTTTAGGTTTGGGTCATATTTATAATTAATAAAAGTATTTCTTTTTTGAAGGATTGGTTCAGAAGCTGATAATAACTTCTTTGATCTTTCCCCTTTATGCTCTAGGCAAACGCAGCAAACACTGAACCTTGTCGCCACTTTTCGTTTTTTAATTTTTTTCTCTACCTATAATTTGTATAAAACTGTATAGTTCCCAGGGATTTTTAACAATTTTTCACCGCGGTTACTAATTTTAAAAAAATTTAAAATAGATAAAATACTGAATTTATTTTTCACAAATAACATGAGATAGAACGCGATTTTGATTTCAAACTTGATTGTTTACTATTAGTATATAGTATTTGTAATCATACTAATTAACATTTTTAAATTGACAAAGTTCAACCTTGCGGTCAAATTTCAGAGCAGTGTTGAGTCATCTTTACATTGAAAATTTACATCAATACAAAAATACAAAATTTTATAATTGTTGAATTTATATACATTAAAGCCATTCGCATCTTTAAATAAAAAATTGGAAATGCGTTAAACGATTTTCAAAACATTTCAAACGTACAACGTGATTCTGACAACGATAATGAAGTTGCAATTTATTTTTGCTTGTGCTTCCCTAAGCAATATTGGCATAGTTAATATAACTATGTATAAAGGAGTGGTGGAGTTGCATTAAACTCTTTTTATCTAAATAAAATCTGATCTTTAGCAGGATGTCAATACTCTTAGAAACTTTATTGATAATGTAGTCAATATGAGTTTTCCATGTTATATTTTCATAGAGAATTATTTATATAAACTTTGTGGAGGTTTCTCTTTTTATTTCAATTTTATCAATATATAGTTTAAGCATAAAGTTAGCAAAAATCGTTTTTTCGATAATGGGTAAAACAGAATATACTTTGTTTAGTCATGTTTAAAGTTAACTTATTACATTTAAACCAGTTAGAGATAAGCTTAAGTTCTTTATTCATTTCGTAGAACAGTTTCGTAATGCTAAGGTTTTTTAAGTTTAATACTTTCTTGATATCATTTACATAGATCTAAAACAGAAGATGTGATTCTGGTAGATCCCGGCAGACTTAAAAAAAAAATTTTTGGTTGTTGGATCACTATTAAAATTTTCAAGTCAAGTGTAATAACAATTCAAAAGTTATTCTAAAGTCAGTATGACCCTAATAATATTTAAATTAGAAAAAAACCCTGGTCTGTATAATAGATGATTCTGGTAAATCCTGACACATACTAAAAAAATTTTTATTTTCTTATAGTTGGTGAATCACAATGAAAAATTTCAAGTCAAATATAATATCTAGTGATCGACCGAAATTCGGTTCGGTTCCGGTCATAAATTTGGCCGGAATCGAAATTCCTGTTTCGGTTCCGGCTAGATTTGAGATTTCGGTTTCGGTCGGAATTTCGGTTCTAAATGCTACCGATAATAGATATTATAAAACTTTATTTTAAATAAATTATTTAGCATTGTAGCGTAAATATATTTTGATTAAAAAAATTTAAATAATTTTTTTGCTAGTTATTTCAACTTCTTATATTATTTTTTGCGTCCGATCGCGTTGTTATTTTTATCTGGTTTTTAATTATCATGTTTAAAATATCATGATCTACAAATTTAATGACGCTACAATGTTATCTACATTGTAGAGTCATATGTTTATGGACTTGATTATTTATTTATTTTAATTATCGCATGGAATTGGTAACGGTAAAATCTTTACGAACTTGGTGATTTTTTTTTAAATTATCACGTGGAATTTGTTTGAAATAAATTAAAAAAGTTTTTATTGGTTTCATTCATTTTTTTAAATCAAGTTGTTTTAATGTTTTCTCGTCGTTAAAACATTAAAACAATAATGTTTTCTTGTCGTTATAACTTTTTTAATGTTTTCTCGTTTAAATTGTTAATTGTCTTTTTAACGAACTTTTTAATGTATTGAACTTTTTAATGTAACGTAAAAAATTTTTCTTAAATATATATATATATATATATATATATATATATATATATATATATATATATATATATATATATACATATATATATATATATATATATATATATATATATATATATATATATATTTTGTTAAGTTAACAACAATATTGATACAAATTAATATAATTAATAATTAATATAATTAACAAAGAACTTGTTAATTATATTTTAAATCCTTGTTCTTGACTCAAACTAGCAACATTAAAAAACTCATCTGATTAAGTTCTTCGATTTCATTCTAATAAAATGAGCTCAAACCGAAAAACAAGTTTAGTGTGGAAGTACTTCATAATTGAAGCAAACAATCCAAGAATGGTTCAGTGCAAAATCTGCAACAGCAAAGTTTCAAGAGGATCTGACGACCCAAAAAAACAAGGATTAAGTGGACTCACGACACACCTGAAGAATCATCATCCTGACATCAAACTTACGCCCGAAAAAGCAGAAAATCCAAAGGCAAATGAAGAAGCTGACTTAAATTCCAACAAGAGAAAGGCAGTTACAATCTTCAACATGCGATCAAAAAAACAAAGATCCGACATGTTACAATCTACATTTCCAAACTGGGTTCAAGCTTCTTTAAAAATTGACTCTAATTCTGAAAAAGGCCAAAAATTTCACAAGTCAATTTTTGAATTGATGATTCTTGACCTCCAACCATGGTCTATTGTCAATG